AGCCGTCTTAGTGACATAATTTCTGCAGTGAATTTCATTGTAAGTTGACATTTGCAAAACAAATGTTGAACAACGGTTCATTTTTAGCTTGTTAACACTGAAGCTCACAATGTCAATCAATGATGCGTTCATCGATACACACTCCTTAGATGTAAATTGAGAAAAAATTCCCCCCTGTAATATTTCGTATTTTGTAATAATTTCATGATGTAAATAAGTATTCGAGTTTACCTGTTGTTGATATTAGGGACTGCAATTAACAGCCATATCGATCCAGCTAGTAAATTACAAACAATCCAAGATATACGTGTTAGATTCTATTGTAAAACACAATAAAAATACAACAGTTCCAACATTTTATGTCAGTATATGACATAAACGATATTCAGATTAAACAGAGTCTTCATAAAATCACATAAACACATATGTTTTGTGTGATAATTAATTAAATTACAACCATCATTATTTGTTCATGATCAAAATACTCATAAATATGACAATAAGAGAAGGTTACAAAGAAAGAATATTTTGGACATCAAAATATAAATGGCTAATAAACAGTGAATGACGCAAATTTCTAAAACTATTCATCAGAACTTCACTTGGTATTGTTTGCTTGAATCTTCCCATTGATGTGTACGACTGTAATTGATCAGTCTCTTGTTGGTATATGTGCATACTGTGCGTATCGTCTCGACATTGCCTTAGTTCACAAGCACTATAAGCAAAGATAGATAGTGACTAGCAGTGGGATTCAGAACGGACATTAACTCTAAGATGCGGGTACATCCAGCTGACGAGTCCTAAATAGGACAAAACGCGCGTCCTGGATTCCACTGCTAGCTACTATCCATCTTTGCTTATATTCATCTGAACATTCTTAAAATTTATTTTATAATGCAGACAGAATAATATAGAAAACTAAAGATAAAGCCTTGAGTGTGTAAAAATAATGTCATTTCGATATTCCCTAAACATTAGTGGTTCACATTTTTGATTAAAGTGACAGATAATGCACCCTATGCAAGTCAATGATTTAACAGAACCTTAATTAAAATGGTTGTCATTTTTGTAGGAAATTACCGAATTTTGAATTTATGCTAATGTGTGCTAAACCATTCTATTTACTTTAGGTGAACTGGACGAAGGGTAGTTTCCATGCCGCTCTAAGGCGAGACATGGTTAATTACATACTTCATGATAAACGAGCTTTAGAAATAAGAAAGGTTTTTAAAGAAGAAGAACATTTGCCGAAAATTCCAGATGAATTGTTTTTCAGTACATTGGCATACAATCCACAACTTGAAGCTCCAGGAGCATGTCTCACGTGTCACGTGTCGAATGGGGAGGATCCTCGTGCAAGATTTGTTGCGCGATATAAAATTTGGTGGCCAGCTTATTGTGCATCAAGACGCATTGTTCGTGGTATTTGTATTTTTGGAATACAACATTTACATAACTTCACACAAAGAACTGAATTCTTCGTAAACAAATTCAATCACGGATTTCATGAATTTGCATATGACTGTTTGGAATATTGGATTTTAAAAAAAATGAAACAGGAACATCTGTCAGGTGAATTAGATACAAAGTTTAACAGAACATTTTACAGCAGACTATTCTGTTCCAGTGATCACATTTAATGGAAAGAGTTTATTTAAGAATCATAGTTACTGATTTATCTATAAACGGAAAGTGTTGAATTATCGCGACTATGTAAACTAATCTCTGGTTTTGTAATGGTAATAACTACATAATTTACTGATTAGTCCGATTCTGTACAAAGCTTTTACTTTAGAATCTACAATCAGATCATACAGGGAATTTCAGAGAAGTCATACTTGGTGATAACTTATGTATGTTACCCCTCATAAGGCATAGGCTGTCGACCTAAAATCTCCGAATAACAATTATCTGCGCTCACATTTTCAGTTGCTGATGAGTGCTATTTATTCTTGTGATGCCAGCCTCCATTTCATAGAGCAACGTGTGCTATCGTCTGCAAATTTTCATTTAGCCTTGCTGATTCCCAGTTATGACCTGCTTCCTCAAACAGTTCGGTGATTTCCGTCAGTGTGATCAATTCACCTCCAGCATATTTCTCTAATTTTCCCTTCACACGAAAGCCGATTTGTTTTCTGTCACAGTAGTTATTCACAGTGTTATTGCTGATGGTACCCAGTCAATAGATATTGATTATCCTAACTAGATGACCATTTGTAAACACCTGTGTGTTTTTGATGGTGATTGTGGTAGTTCCGTATAGTATAACTGTCTTAATACTTGTATTGAAAATCCTGACTTTTGTGTTGTCTGACTGCTGTTATGAGTCCGAGATATTCTTCAATTGTAGGATCACCAATCTTGATTTGCCAATCCATGCCTTCACATGTGCATCAGATCTCCCTCGTTTATGAGTGATACTGTCAAGGTACTTGAAAGTTTCAATCACTTCCAGAGCTTCTTCATCAAGTCTGATATATCGGTGTCCACTGTGTTGTATTTCAGTATCTTTTGTTCGTATAGTGCACACTGAGGCCTATTTCTTCGGAAGCTGGTGCTACAATGTCTGTTTTTACCTCTATTTGTTGCTGTGTAAGGCATAGAATGACTAGGTCGTTTGCTAAGTTCAAACCGTCTAGCTACATTTAAGCTCTCTATTGTATTCCGTGCCTCTCCCGATCCGTGTAGTTCTTCAAAATTCAGTCAACAACCAGAAAAAGTTGGAACGGTGAGAGTAACCAGCATTTTGCCCACTCTGTTCTTCATTTGAAATGCATCTGCGAGCCAACCTACACTCATGAACTTGCATTGCAGCCCGTCTTAACAATTCTCCATGATGGTGACAATCTTCACAGATACATTGTAGTGTTGAGTAAGCTCTCATAAAGTTCTTCTATCCACATTGTCAAATGCTTCCTCTTGATCAAGGAGGTTGATATATAGTGATGAGTTCCCTCTAATGGATTATTCATCAATGATTCATAGTGTTGCAATACGGTCGGTACACGACTGATCTTCACGGAACCTAGCCTGTTGGTCTGGAAGTTGGCCTTCTACGAAATCTTCTCTTCGGTTCAACAACACTGTTGTAGATTTCGCCTGGTAGTGATAGTAATGTGATGCCTCTGTAGTGTTCATACTCGCTTAGATCTTGTTATAAAACATCTTCGAGATAATTACTAAGGTTTCGTGTATCCAACGTCCTGATAACCTTTATCAGATAACTCCCCACAGTGTATAAATTTCAGAAGGCAAGTCAAAGCGTCGACAACAGTTTATTATTGTACGGTGCAAATGATTAAGTTTAAGCTAACAAAGCGAATTCGAGCAGAAACGCGAATGAGAGCGAGCGAATACAAAAGCGAATTCAGAGTCGAGTGAATTGATAAGATTTAAGGTCATGTGTATAGGAAAGAAAATGAATAATCGAGGGATTTAAGCAACTAATGCTTCAGCTGGTAAGAGGAATTTTTGTGTAGTCTGTAACACGTGATCAAGCATACAGACATAATAATAATAATAATAATAATAATAATAATAATATATAGATATACAAATTGCTACTGTTTTAATGACACCGTCTGTTAAATAAGTTATTTGAAGGGGTTGACAAAATTAAGCGTGAACAGAACTAATATAATGTGACATAATGATTCCCTTTGCAAACAAAGATATATAGAAAAATGTCCGTGTTTGTAAAAACAATGTTAAACTGCGCAGAATAACTATGATACACAGAAAATATTGAATTATGCAGAGTTATAATGTACGATTAAGCTACTGTGTAAGCTAATATCTGTTATGTATGTCTCAGCTCGCGTATATCCGTGAGGCCAGATAAAATAGTGATAAATTATCGAAAGAATATAACATCTTTTTAAAATGTTGCACATATCACCATGTTATTGGAATTACACAGATTTGCAAATCGCTCACCATTCTCTCTCCTTACTTTCAATCCAATCTCATCTTATAACATCTTATTCGGTGTTGTCAATCTTGATCTCGTCGTTCACACCTCTCATCAGGATGGTATGGTCTTTTCGTGGACAGTTCTCTACGATAGACTGTAGTCTCTCATAAAACTGATTTGTATTGTCTTCACACTTACCACTGGTGGGCGCACAGCACTGGACGACATTCATTGTAACCTCCTCCATTGTTTTCAAGGATGCTGTGATGATGGATCTGTGAGATTCCTATCTTATGAATGCCTTTTGTGCTTGTTCGGAGAGTATGAGTGTCACTCTTTGTGTGTGAGGTATTTTCTTTCTCGTGGCGCAAATGTAATAACAGTTTTGTTGAATTCAGTTTTTTCTGTCCTGATTGTGTCCAGTGAGCTTGATTTATTCCGGGTGCCAAATTATGTGTTCTAATATAAGGGGGTTTGAACTGTGCTATTTACCAATAATGAAAATATGAGGGGTGTAAATTTCTAATAGTTAAGTGTTAATAATGCTAAATCAGAGAATATGTAAAATATCCATTCAAAATCAACTAGGTACTTACATTGTTAAATGAATCAACTAAATAGTTTTTTATCTTGACATGTAATATATTCCAAACGAATGAATTTAATCACGATTAAGGAATAAAACAAATTACATTTATGACTAATCGATAATGATTATGCGAATCAAGTATTGTTATATCTTCTAATTTCCCCCCTCCTTCGCAAATTCTTTAGAGATTTAGATTTATTAACGAATCAGATGACTCTAATAAAAGTGACGGGAAAATAATTATCCTCAAGTCTAATTTCCATGTTTATATATATCAAAAAAATTTATCAAAAGTTGTAATATGGAATCTGTTTCATTACGGATTTATTCAAATAAAATTTCTTGTAATACCTGAGATGCATATAACCTTTAAATGTCTATTTATTTCACAAATAATTATTTATTATTGTTTAAGTGATTCTGAATTAACAAACAAACAAAATTATTATTCTATGCCAAATATGTATACGTTCTGTGAAGCTAATAAATTTTGTTATGAATCCGGATTATCAGTTGGTAAGCATTTGAAACTACCGGTATTTGAAGATTTACAGTATATTCATAATGATGCAAAGCTTGAAACATTTTGGTTGGACTATAATGCATTATTTACACCACGTATGGCTGATTTTATCACATGGCGATATCATGATATATCGATAGAACTAATTGATTTGAGAAGAATGAAATTTTTTAATCTCCCATTATCTTACAATGATGGACGTTACTGTGTGATTCATAATAAAGAAGGCTTACTGGAAGGAGTTCAGTGTAATAGTGTTAATAATGCTATTTGTGTTGAAGCAAATATACAACATATCAATCAACTGTTAGGCATTAATTCATCAATTTTATTGAAGAAATTCACCATTGAACAACGTGTTGATCCAAAATTTGTTTCAATGTCTAGTCAAACAGATGGCTGTTATGAACTATTTACAATACATAGTACTTACGATTGTGTTTTACAGTAGGTTTCAACTAATTTATTTCATATATTAACATTATTCTTTTGTAATAAATATTGGCTATTTATTGTTTGTCATTACAATTTCTAAACCTTATTTACTTTAAAAGAATACCGATAAATGCATAATTTCGACAATATGAATTGAAAACCGACAGTGAAAGCAGTATGTGTTTAACGTTTTGGAAAGACTATTTGTTATGATAACGCTGAATTTGCCTCTATATTTTAATTATATCCCTGCTTACACTAATACACCCATAAAGATCATAATGATTTATTTAGTTTCATTAAATTACTCTCTATATTAGTGAAAATATTGAAGTAATGATCAATAAAAACGTCGATTTGATTAATTAACCTTTCGGTCATAAGTCAAACAACACATTTCATGAACTGTTAAGGTTTAAAAAATTAATCTTATAAATAGTGAAAAGTTAACAGAGCACTGATCATTGTATAATTATTTATTTTCAGTCACTCAATCAGTAACAGCGTGGAACTTTGTACATACGTACATCAGTTCGAGTTGCCATACCACATTATCACACAGATACAGTTGTCGATTCAAATCCCATAGTTGTAGTGGTAGTAAGAGTATAAGCAGTAATTGGAAAGATTAGGGTTTGAAGATGTTATTCAACGAGTATAATACACTGAAATAAATTTGGAAAGAGGAAAACAGAAAGTGCCATGAAGAATTCGGAAGATTAGAATTTGGGAGAACATAAAGAGTGGATGCACCTGTGCCATTGCAAACTATTTTGAACCATGTCATTCAGGCTCTCTAACCATCGGTTGCTATCATCTCGTCAACCAGGTAGTCTACACCTACCAACATGGATTGGTTCACTCGTCAGTTACTTCATGGATTTTTGCCATGTTTTGGTCTGGCCGCCCCTACCTTTCTTCCAACCTACTCCTACTGAACATCGCACATCAGAGCAGTCAGTAGTTGGGAATACGTAACACATGCCCCAGCCATCTCAACTGACGAAGTTTGACTACTTCATCAATTGAAGTATTATTTGATCTAATCCATTAATAAATTTCACTTTGTTTAGAAATAATCAAAATAAAATGATAATTTATTAACAATGTTTAATTTAAATTTTAGATGTACTGAAACTGTATATTGTATATCAGGCTACTTTAATCAATTTCAAAAGAGATGTATTATCATTTTATACCATCATAGTTTATTACCTCATCAATATTCGGATTCTATAGCTCATTGGTTAAGATTTTCACTTAATTATTAAATGCAATTAGAAGTTAATTCTTTTGTCAGTGAACAAATTGTATTTGATAATTTCCCTATGTAATCGATATTATTATTATACATTATTGTATTTATTACATGTTATTATCTAACAAGACTAGCGACAGATAAATAGATTAATAATTTTGCGAATTCATCGTGCTGATTACTATGAACTCAAACGATTAATTCATTATTATTTGTAATGATACCTTGATTGTGTTTGTTTTTTTTTGTTGTCGTTGTTGATGAAGATAAGTGCTACTAATATAAAACAATAGAATTTGTGTTTTTATTCGTTTTTAGAATAAAGCTATTGCTCTGAATGTTGTTTTATATTTGCATAGGAAAGTTTGCTTAGAGTAGATTCAATTACAAACTGACACAAGTTGGGGAAATGTTTTAATTTATTGAAAAGATGACATGCTAATTGGTGATTTATCAAAAGTGTACTTCCTGAACCATGAATGAAATTGAGTCAACGTGTTCAGATCTCGATACAGATATAATCCTTACAGGTTATGAAGTCATAATCCATTCTTTTAGTTTAGGATGGCTCCTGATAAATGTTTTTTTCTGTAATTTGTGACATGTAATCGCCATTCACTACTGTAATATCCGCGGTTCTACTGGTTATACTTGGAGACGGGGACAATTTTAGTTCCCACGATGTGAAGTGAAAACAAAAAGATTGGTGCAATGAAGATATACTGACTCTCCATAAATATGATAATGTCAAGTCAAACACAAATACTTGTCTGCTGACTTCACACATACGTAATCACTAAGTGGTAAACACCAAATAGACAGAAAGATACACAGGGTTTCTGTCAAACACAAACGAGGTTTACACAGAGTAATATAAGGAATATAGTTGTCATACTCGATGGAAGTTTACGTTTGTTATATTGAAAAAGCTCAGTCTTAGTTAGTGCAAACATATTGATCTGAAATATTGTCACATTGGAAAATATCATCACATCATTTTTTTCGTATGCATTGGGAAATGATTTGTTGGTCCTGAACTACATTCCAGTTGCGTTTTTGTTATGTTAACTGGATCTTCTGCTAGTATATTCCCCGGAAAGTTTTCTAGCTTTTGATTGTCACAGCTTTGTCAAGATCTCGTCTTTTTATATAATGGCTATGTCTCATTCATGTGAGCTCACCCGCCTCTACTTCATATGAAACTACTAATATTTTTATCTCTCCTGCCCGACATGAGCATTATGATCCGCAAGCGTAGAAATTTTATACCTAAATTGCTTCACTTGGATGAATAACTATGGTTCTGATGCAGTGCTCTTTATTGAAAAAAGGTTTACTAATTTTCATTCTCTTTATCTTGGTAACAGACCACTCAACATAATCCGACTTTTTCGTTTAAACATATTTTCTGCCAACGACAATGCGTTCATTATGCTAAACTCAGTGTTAAACGGCAACTTAACAGGATTATTTCTTCTGCCGCTCCTCTCCCTTCTCTTTTTGAATTGACCTTTTAAATGAATAAATAAAAAGCTTCCTGTAAGAATTAGATTGACGTTGGTATGCAGAGGACCTAACGTTTTTGAAACTACTTTTCTCTGTAAAAATTTTTCACACTTGACTGGGTTGATGAAATGTTCCTTCATTACAATTTATAGTAGTCCCAAACTGTTGGTCAATTCTAGTTTTTTATTGTGGCACTAATAGACACATTAGGGATTGAGAAGACTTTTGACCATTTTGTTATGATACATCGACGATATTTTAGGCAGATTAATGCGCAAATTCGGAATGCCTTTCTTAGGTCCGGAAATCACTACAAGAAGTTTATGACCTGTAAACAATTCGAAATATTGACCGTGGAGAATCCTATGAGACTTTACTTATAATTTATTGTTTCATCACTGGCTTGGATTGTAATCTTTATTGCTAACATTTCAAATGTAACCATTGCTAGCTCGTAAAAAGTGTTTTTGTATATTCGCATCACGACACAGTTATTAATTTCAAACAAAAACCTGTGGGATTTCGTGTTGACTACGTCTTCCATCTTCTGTTTGTGGTAGATTTGTTGAATGATCAGCTAGGTTGAATGTAGTTGCAGATCTTAAATACTCTTGATAGTCTCACACCATAGGACTGTGGATTTGACTAATCAACACGAGGACCTACCTCGTGATTTAGGTAACATGATTTTATAGTTGAATTCATGAGTCAATTACAGCTAGACCACAATCGGAAACCTGGAAGCTCTGGACGGCCGTTTCGTCCTGGTATGGAACTCCTCAGCAGCGCGCATCCACAATCCCGCCCCGCGAGATTTGAACCCATGACCTATTGGTCCAGCGCGCGAAAGCCTATCCTTTAGACCACTGACACAGCATCAAACGGTGTTTATGTTTAACTTCAACCAATCCATGAAATTGAATTACCGTCCACTATTGTCGAAACGTAAATCGCTAAAAAAACGCTAACCAGAAAAAATAACTCAAACCATTTAAACTCTGCCCTGGCAGTTAGAGGTAATATGACGCTTCATGGTGAAAGCCGAGTTCCTTCGGAAGCCACGAGGCCGATGCCCCTTCTAACAACCAGAGCAACAATTTTTATAGGTACATGGAACGTCCGGACAATGTGGGAGAACGGGAAGACCAGTCAAATAGCAACGGAAATGAGGAGATACAAATTGGCAGTGTTGGGAATCAGTGAAACCCATTGGACCCAAGCTGGATAACAAAGGCTAAATACGCGAGAGATGCTGCTATACTCCGGTCACAAAGAAGAAAATGCTCCACACACTCAGGGAGTTGCTCTAATGCTATCCAAATTAGCACGAAATGCACTTGTAGGATGGGAATCTCACGGATCCAGAATCATCAAAGCATCATTCAAAACAAAGAAGGAGGGGATCACAATGAACATTATCCAATGTTATGCACCCACCAATGATAGTAACGACGACGTTAAAGATCAATTCTATGAGAGGCTGCAATCAATCATAGAGAAGTGCCCAAGAAAGGACCTCACCATTCTGATGGGAGATCTAAACGCCAAAGTCGGAATGGACAACACCGGATATGAAGACATCATGGGACTACATGGACTGGGAGAGAGAAACGAAAACGGGGAAAGATTTGCAAATCTGTGTGCATTCAATAAATTGGTCATCGGCGGTACAACATTTCCACACAAACGTATACACAAAGCTACATGGATCTCACCGGACCACACCACAGAGAACCAGATAGATCACATTTGCATCAATAAGAAGTTCCGAAGGACAATGGAAGATGTGAAAACCAGGAGAGGAGCGGACATAGCTTCAGATCATCACCTGGTTGTGGCCAAATTGAAACTGAAGCTAAAGAAGAACTGGACAACTGGACAAACAGCACCACAAAGGTTCAATACAGCCTTCCTTCGAGATACTGACAAACTCAATGAATTCAAGGTAGCTCTCAACAACAGGTTCCAAGCCTTACAGGACCTACTGAAGGAAGAAAAAATCACTATGGAGGATAGCTGGGAAGACATCAAAGAAACATTAACTTCAACGTGTGATGAGGTTCTGGGCCCCAAGAAGCATCATCACAAGGAATGGATCACTATAGAAACACTGGACAGGATCAAAGAAAGAAAGAACAAGAAGACAGCAATTAACAACAGTCGAACAAGAGCAGAGGAAGTTCAAGCACAAGCAGAGTACATAGAAGCAAACAAGAAAGTGAAGAAGAGCATTAGAGCTGATAAGCAAAAATATGTGGAAGAACTAGCAACGACGGCGGAAAAAGCTGCAAGAGAAGGAAATATGAGACAGCTTTACGATACGACGAAGAAGCTTGCAGGGAAATACAGTAAACCAGAGAGACCAGTCAAAGACAAAAAAGGAAGACCAATCACTGAGATTCAACAACAGCGCAACAGATGGGCAGAGTACTTCGAGGAACTCCTGAACAGGCCGGCTGCAATGAATCCACCGGACATCAAAGCAGCACACACAGATCTTCCTATAAATGTCAATCCACCAACGACAGAAGAAATCAGAATGGCCGTCAGACAAATCAAGAGCGAGAAAGCAGCAGGACCTGACAATATACCAGCTGAAGCGTTGAAGTCAGACATAGAAGCAACTACAAGCATGCTTCATCTTCTATTCAAGAAGATTTGGGAGGAGGAACAAGTGCCGATGGATTGAAAAGAAGGACACCTCATCAAGATTCCAAAGAAACGAGATCTGAGCAAGTGTGAAAACTACAGAGGCATTACACTACTGTCAATACCGGGTAAAGTCTTCAACAGAGTGTTACTGAACAGGATGAAAGACGCAGTTGACGCTCAACTTCGAGATCAACAAGCTGGATTCCGTAAGGACCGGTCGTGCACAGACCAGATTGCGACACTACGGATCATCGTCGAACAATCAATTGAGTGGAACTCGTCACTCTACATCAACTTCATTGATTATGAGAAGGCATTTGACAGTGTAGATAGGAGGACGTTATGGAAACTTCTTCGACACTACGGAGTTCCTGAGAAGATTGTCAACATTATCCGGAACTCATACGATGGACTACAGTGCAAAGTAGTGCATGGAGGACAGCTGACAGACGCATTCCAAGTAAGGACCGGAGTAAGACAAGGCTGTCTACTCTCTCCCTTCCTGTTTCTTCTGGTGGTCGACTGGATTATGAAGACCTCGACATCTGAGGGAAACTACGGCATACGATGGACAGCTCAGAACCAATTAGACGACTTGGACTTCGCAGATGACCTAGCCCTCCTATCACATACACACGAACAAATGCAGATAAAGACAGCCAGCATAGCAGCAGTCTCCGCATCAGTAGGCCTCAACATACACAAAGGGAAAACCAAGGTCCTCAAACACAACACGGAGAACAGCAATCCAATCACTCTTGATGGCGAAACTCTGGAAGACGTGGAATCCTTCACATACCTGGGAAGCATCGTCGATAAACAAGGAGGTTCAGATGCAGACGTCAAGGCGAGGAT